TTTCTAAGACTTTTAATATAAAAAGTATTAATATAACCTAGTCAACCATGCCACAATTAATAGACTCAACAATACAAGTAGAATTTGAAATGTTTGGTTATTGACAATCTTTTGAACAATATTTTGTATAAATAATCCTCCAGTAAGATATCCCTTCCAACAAAGTATCCTCCGCGAGATATAATTATTTTATCACCTTCAAAAATAAGTTTAAGTCCTACTTTATTGAGAAGTGCTCCGCAAACTAGGTTTCCAAGGAGGGAGAGAACGTACAAAACATTGTTCAAGGATAATGTCTTTTCAAAAGTTAATTTAAGCAAAACTTTTCTTTTACCCATTACTACAGCAGTAGTGGAGTTACCCGTATATACACACTCTCCATTAGTAGACTCCTGAGAGTCATGGAATAAATCTTTATTGGAACAAAAATACCTTGAAGCGCCTATGTATAATACCCAATCAGTCTTGCTAGACACCAGATTCGCCTCAATGACTACAATAGTAATCACTTCATTACCCTCAACAAAATTAGCTTGGACATCACTTTGCCCTGTGACCAAATTTTCCACAAACAAAACAAGAACCCTTAAATTTGTGAATTTGACTCTCCAGCTTATTGAATTGATTTTTATTCTTCATATGTTTCTTTTTTGAGACTTTCTTCTGTTTGACTTTGAACTTGTCTTCCACAAAAGTACCAAAAGATTCAACAAGATTATCTTTAGAAGAATTAAGAGAAGTTCTTCCTTTTTATCTTTGAGACAGTTCGTTCTTCAGTCCTCATATGGCTAATAAGTTCTTGGAAAGTTAAATTCTACTCACTCAAAGATGGGGAGCAGAACACTATCCTGAAATATATCACACATCTCCATGTTCTCGTTGAGAACATCAACAGTCAAATTCTCATATTCGTGAACTTGTTTCATTATCGGATTATCATCAATAATTTGAAATTTAATCCATTGATCGACGGTAATTTTTTTCTTTTCTGCATCATCAACATCATATCTCTTTTCCAAACTATCTCATATCTCTTTGGCAGATTTATAGGTTAAAATAAATTAAATAAAGGATTAGTCATATGATTTAACAAATGTCCTCTAACAATTTTGTTATCCTTTTCAAACTTCATTTTAACAAGATCATCAACAGTTATAACATTACTAGAATCAGTAGTAGTGTTAGAACCATTCATATAAGGCTCCTTCAATAAAACATAGTCAATTTTTAATTGTTCAAAGAAAATTTAAAAAATTTATGACCATCGTTTAAAATTATTTCCATTCAAAGGCTCAAGTTTTGACAAATCATTAAAAGTTTTGTTTAAAGAAATAGTCATTTATCAATATTATATGTTAGAAAATCGCTTTCAAATTTTTGAGAAAAATACTACAATATTGATATTAGAATGGAATTATAAAATAGTAAATAACTTGTCACTCGTGGAAAGTCACTGCCTTGAAAGCGATTTGGGCTCGACTCCGGTGCAAATTGTTGTAGTGGGTCTCTCCCTAAGGTTCCATAGTTACTCTCAAACACGTGCACTCGTGACTGAAAGTTTGGAGGTATCCCAAAACCAATTGCCTAAAAAATATTTTAAGAATAAGATTTGAAGAAAAGAGGAAAATGGTTTTCTCTTCTTTTTGTTTGTGTTGGTAGTGGTGTTTTATGTTCACTCAAAATACATCTTTATATAGGAGTTGCAAATAGGAATTTCAAAGATAAGAAGTGAATTCTTAAGAAACGTATGGAAAATCTTAATGAAATTAAAAGTCATTACATCACACTTTAATAAAAAAGTAATTTGGGATGGATAGGTAATTTATTCCTTTTGTAACCTAATATTTTATATACTTTGCATTATTCTTGATTAATATTGTAAAAGTAATATTACAAAATGTTGTTCATGGAATTAGTCGTTGATGACATTGTGCCACTTGATTGTCATTCTTAATTCCTCCATTATCTTTGTAACCTATGTAACTCCTAAGGTCATTATATTCACTATTTACTACACTTATTCATTACTAGGAAGACTTATTATAGTATAAATTGTGGCGGTCTTCATTTTGTGCACAACACAGAACAGAAAACATAGAGTGATAAAGTTTGTTAAAAAGAGAGTTTTTATTAGTTGAAGGGATATGTTCTTTTTAGTGGAGCTTTGGACTCAAATCTTGTCCAAAATTGATGAGTTATTCTTTGTGAAGGTTGTTGTATCTTGGAGGGGACAAGTCAAAGAGAACTACTGCTGGACCGGTTAAAACATTTGTTACCGTGGGCTTGAATCTCCTTAAAGAGAGCGAGATATCTGCACCTCAGCCTGACGAGATTTTAATTTTATTTCATTTTTAGTTGTAATCTTGTAAATGTTGTTACCTTGTAAGTTTTCACTAAAAACTTTAAGGAGATTCATCATGGCAACAATTGCAAAAATCGCGGATGTCAAGATGGGAGACCTTAACAACCCATTTCAGTTCAATGGTAACCATTTTAATAGATGGAAGGGTAAATTACTTTTTTATTTAAGTCTTCTCAATATGTGTTAATTCAGAAGTATTCTAATAAAGAAGACATCACCTCTATGAATGATGATGAAACTATTTCTCATCTAGATAAAGTGGAAAAGTATAATGGAGATTTTTATAAATGTCAATATTATATTCTTAATTGTCTATCTAATAATTTTTATGATTATTATGATAGAACTTAGTCTAGTGCAAAGAAAATTTAGAAGGCATTGCAGAGTAAGTATGATACCGAAGAGGCTGGAGAAAAAAAATATGTGATTAGTAGATTTTTTTCGTTTACAAATAGTGGACAATAAATTAGTGGTAGACCAAGCTAATGAATTTATCATGATTGTTGGAGAGTTTATTTCTGAAGAGGTTTAAATTGGAGATAACCTTATTTTTTGTGGCATAATAGATAAACTTTCACCTTCTTGTAAGGAATTTCAAAAATCTATGTGCCACAAACAAAAAGGAACCTCTCTTGAAACCTTGATAATGAAAATCTGCATGGAAGAAGAAGCAAGGGGCCAAGATGCACTTTTACAAATAGAAGATAACAACATCACATCGAAGGTACATTTAATTATTTCAAATAATGCTACTCTTGAAACTTATAAAAATACTTCTTTAAAGATTAAGAAGAAAAAATTCAAGGAAAAAAATGGTAGATCTTCCAAGAAAAATAATGTTACAAATCACGAAGCATAAAATCAACAAGTTCAAAAAAAGGGATCATGCTTTGTTTGTGGCAATAGTGGGCACACTGCTCGATTTTGCAAATTTCAGAAACGTGGAACTAACCCTCATGCAAACGTTATCGAAGAACATTTTGTGGCGGTGATTACCGACATAAATATGGTAGAGAATGTTGATGGATGATGGGCTGATTCTGGTGCAAACCATCATGTCTGTTATGACAAAGACTAATTTAAAAAATATACTCATTTCGAGGAGCCCAAAATCATCATGCTTGATGATGCTCATACTACTCAGGTGCTTGGAAAGGGAGCTATCGAATTGTGTTTTACTTCTGGAAGGGTATTAACTTTAAAAGATGTACTTTATACTCCTTCCAAGAGAAAAAAATTTATGTCTAGTTTTCTTCTTAACAAAACAGACTTTAAACACGTTATTGAATATGATCAATATGTAATTTTAAAGAAGGTTATTTTGAGGGAAAGAGGTATGCATGTGATGGGATGTTTAAGTTGAATGTTGAAATGAATAAAACTTCTACTTCTGTGTATATGTTTTCTTCTACCAATTTCTGGCTTTCACTTTTGTGTTATATTAATGATCGTTATGTTGGAATGATGAATAGTTTAGGATTAATCCAAATGGTTAAAATTTTTTTGAAAAGTGTGAGGCTTGTAGTAAAGCTAAAATCACTAAAAGGCCTCATTTTCAAGTTGAAAGAAAAACTGATTAGTTAGAATTATTTCATACTGATATTTGTGAAATTGATGGAATTCTAACTCGTGGATGTAATAGATATTTTATCACTTTCATTGATGATCTTTCTAAGTTTACATGTTTTTACTTGATGAAAAATAAAAGTGATGCTTTTGAAAATTTCAAAACTTATCTCGGTGAGGTTGAAAATAAGTTTGGAAGAAAAATAAAAAGAATTAGAAGTGATAGAGGTCGTGAATATGAACCAAATGAGTTTAATTCTTTCGTTAGATCATTGGGAATAACTGAAACTACTCCACCTTACTCTCCTTCTCTAATGGAGTAGCAGAAAGGAAAAAATAATATTTTGGTTGAATTGACTAATGTCATGTTTATTGAGTCACATGCACCTTTAAATTTTTAGGGTGAAGTTATTTTAACTGTTTGTTATGTGTGTTGACACCCAATTTCGACCCTCCTCGGTATAAATTAGTTTTCGAGCTTCGTAAATTTTCCAAACAATTTAAAATAATTAGTTTTTATAAATTTTGCGAAAAAAATATAATAATAATAATGTATGAACTTTATGTTATTTTGAATACTTTTGTCATTTTTCTTATAACTTTTAGATATCCTATATATTTTACATGATAATGTACATAGTTGGTATATTTTACGATTATTTCTCAAAATATTTTAAATTTTAGTAAGTATTTTATTTAAATAATTTAGTTTAAATTATCGTTATATTCTGAATCACTATTTTACAATTAAAATAATTATATTACTAAATAAAGAAGCTCGTTAATTAATTAATACAAATTCATTTTATTTAAGGTTTAGCCAAATTTATCATCTTAACTCAATTTGTCTATTTATTAAATTTTCTCATCTTAATTTTCCAATTTAATTCAATTTTGGACCATTCTTGCAAATCCCTTTTAATTCCCTTTCCAGCCCATTTATTTTTATTTATTTCCCAGCCCGTTTTCCCTTTCCCAGGCCCAAATATTTTTTTTAAACTCAGCAGCCCACCTAAATCCTTTTCCCTTTAATTCGCAGGCCCAATTCCTTTTCCCTTTTATTCCCAGCCCAACCCCCATTTCCTTCTCCAGCCCAAACCGTTTTAACCCGACCCGTTACTCCTTCTTCCTCTTCACACATTCCTGCGTTCAACAGCCACGCAATTCCTCCCATCTCCTGTACAGCGCGTCCCCTTCCCCTCTCCCTTTCTTTCATACGAATGGTATACCTAGGTGTCGAAATCTCCTCTCCCCTCTCGTCCTCTCCTTCAAATCGGACGACTATGGTCATCTTGGTGTTGGAGAATAATACAAATTCGTACCATTCCATTTCAACCATATCCTTTTAGTTTTTTTGGATTTCAAATTGGGAAATGAAATCGCGATTTTACCCCAACCCTTTTTGTGATATCCTCCGCTCTCCGTCCGTCAAAATTTAGTATATATAGGGCCATCTATTCACTGTTTTGGGGGGATTTTTTTTTTGGCTTTCAATTATCTTCCGCCTAATATTCTTGGCTGAAATTTCCTGGCGAGAAGTATTCGTATATTGAGGGAAGTTAGTCGAGCCACAAAACAAGACACATTAAGAGGTAGAGGTGGCGAAATATTTCGTTCAAGCCTCTGTTTCAATTCTCTGTTCGTCGACCAAAGTGAGCCACCATTTATTAATCGAAAGTCGATCCTCTCAAGCTTGTTAATCGTCTCAGTTCCGCTGACTCCGAAAAGGTAACACTTCTTCCTGGGATATTATTTTCTCATCTTTTATATTTCTAAAATAGTTTTCTTCCAATACTTTAGAGGCTAGTGCTGCTGTTGCTAACTATGATTATTTTGACATGGGCATACATTGTATCTTTATTTTGTTAGTGATTTCGCTGTATATTATTGTTATGGTCTTAGATGTTCATCATTTATGATGAGTCACTGCTTCCATGCGTGTCTTGGGATTCTTAGGTTGGCTCTCACTTTAAGTGTGCTTGTTTGAATGTCCGTAGCTTGTATCTTATGTTTTTCTTGTACCTAGAGTTCCTTTCATCTTGATATTCTAAGGCAACATGTTCAAAATGCTATGGCTCTTGTTTGCGGTATTGTGGCTTATGGAGTTAGTTGGTATGGTCTGTTTCTCTACATTCTTTCGTTTGTTTAAAGTGTGTCATTCCCTACCTGTTCATCTTGTCTAAAACCTCCATTCATTTTTGTTCTCGAGTTATTCGCCTACGTTGAAATGAACCAATATAGGCTGTGTAACATGCCATTTAACCGGAGCCGTAATCAACTCTTCCCTTCCTGTTGGTTTTTGGACATATGAGTTTAGGCAGATTGTCGTTTTGTTGTAGAATGACCTTCGTGTTCGATGGTCTTTAATGTGTTGCAATAAGGATTAGAGGCATGTTACCTGTATCCTCTGCAGTCTGCCTCCTAGCAGTATGTTTATTTGACATGTTCATAAGGATTAGGATAGTTTATCATGCCTTTGCATATCATTTTGGATGAAAAATAAGTGACAACATTTGTTGGTTAATATTGTTCATCAAGGCGGCTTGTTTTTTACTTACCATCAGAATTATTTGTTGAAGTTGGCTGCATCCTTCTTTCGAGTTTCTTTTTTTTTTTAGTTCTTGTATTAGTTAAATTATTTCTCTATCATCTATGTTGAAACGATTTCTAATTTTCTCCTTTTGTTGTCTTTGTTGTATGAATCCCTCCGAATCCATAATGGATTTATCGCCGTTGCATTCTCTTGTTGAGCCATAAAGGTTCAAAACACCCTTCTCGAGTCAGTCAGCCGCCTCAAACAGGTGTACAGGTCGAAAAACAGCAGAAATGCACTGCTAGAAATTGATTACAGGTTCATCAGAACCTGAAAGTTGCTGGAAATTACAGTGCATGTGTTGAAGGAGCTGTATACCAGCTATATACATAGTTTATATCATGATATACATGTAAAAAATGCACAGGGGATCAAAATTCGAAATCTGGGTTGATAGCAGGGAAAATACGCTGCTGAAAAGGGACTTTAAGCTTTCAAAAGTTGAAAAATAGGCCTATATACAACCTGTATACACTGATATACAGAGGGTCTATACTATAAGTATGTATAAAAAATAAGAATTGCAGGTTAACGTACAAGGACTCCTAATTTGAGTAAAATACAGGAATAGGCAATAAATACGTGGGTAGGATACAACTCATATACATTGGTATACATCTTTTGGGCCGCGATATACATTGTTAAAACAGGTTAAAAATGGTACAGGTACAAATGTGCAGAAATAATATGGCAAATACAAGGGAATAGCGAGGAATGCATTTTTAAACAATATGCAGGGCTCAAAAAGTCCAAAATGGATTGAATATACATTGTATACAACAGTATACATCATTTGTATACCTTGACTCTTTCAGGAAATGGGTCAGGGCCCTTTCAGCAAAAGTTTTTTAATAGGCCCAAAGGCCAATTTCTTTTGGAGGATTTGAATTGATGAAAAGGGCCCAAACATGAATAGTTTAATATAGGATAGGTGGGTCAAAGCCTAAATTTGAATGAATTTGGGCAATCAAGCCCAAGTTCAAATTTTTTTCCTCTTTATTTATTATTTGTTTGAATTAACTAATTTTTTGGTATAATTTTAATAATCTCCTAAAGGGCAACCATTTTTCACTATTTTCAATTTTATTATTTTATTTACATATTTTGTTTTATTTACTTTTGTCATCATTTAGTTCTTTCCTTAAGTTAATTCCCTCTTAATATTTCCCTATAGAAATAATAAAAATGGAATAAAATAAATTAAAACGAATTTTCTCTTTACTTAGTTAAATTTTATAATTTTTAAAAGTCATTTTAGTCAAATTGTTGGTGCAAGCTAGCGGGCGTCCCGAGGGCCTAACACATTCTCGGGATGTATATTTGAAATTCGAACCTTGTTTTTCAATCGATTTTTATCTGTTTTTAAATCTTTTGACAATAAATTTTAACTTTTTCTTGATTTTATCAAAAATCAAGTGGTCACTCCGTATTTTTGAAAGTCGATTTTTCTTAAATAATAAGATTAATTGATTTTTCAAAACCGAGTCAATTCTACTATTTTTTAACCAAATAATAGTATTTTTAAAATAAAACAATGTGTTGAATTGTGTGCCTCATAAAAAGTCTAAATTGACATGTTTTTAATTGTGAAAAGGTTACAAGTCAAGTTTGGTATATCTAAGAGTTTGGGATTGTCTAGCCTTTGTGAGGCTAATGGATCCCAAGATTATAAAGTTGGGTAAGAAGTTACTACTTGTGCTTTTCTTGGTTACACTTCATATAGTGCATCCTATGAATTTTTTTAACATTGAAGATAATATTGTAATAAAATTTAACGATGCTATTTTTCATGAAAATAAATCTTCATTTGATTCTAAAAATAGTGGGGTCAAATGATTGAACAAAATATTTTTTCACTTCTTAGTTCTTATACTTCTACTTAGAAAAATGAAGAAGTTGATGATTTTGAGATAAGAAAAAGTAAAAGAGCTAGAGTAGAAAAAGATTTTGATTTTGATTTTGATTTATGTGTTTAATGTTGGAGAGGACCTTCTCACTTTGAAAGAAGCATTATCTTCATATGATTCTATTTTTTGAAAAGATGCTGTAAATGATGAAATGAAATTACTAATTTCTATTAAAACTTGGAAACTAGTTGATTTACCACTGGGTTGTAAAACTATTGGTTGCAAATGGTCTTAGGGAAAAAATTGAAACCGTATGGATCTATTGATAAATACAAGGGTAGGTTAGTTGCAAAAGGTTTTAAACAACTAGAAGGCCCAAAATTTTTTGATACTTTTTCTCCAATAACAAGAATTACATCCATAAGACTTTATTGTTGTGGCTGCAATATTTTATTTGCAAATTCATCAAAAAGATGTAAAAATTGCTTTTCTAAATAGAGACCTAAATGAAGAAATTTATATGGATCAGCCCTAGTGTTTTGTTGAAGCACGTCAAGAAAGCAATGTATGTAAACTTACTAAATCCCTATATCGCTTGAAACACGCACCAAAGCAATGACATGAAAATTTTGATTCATGAATGATTGAAAATAATTTTAAAACAAATGAGTGTGATAAGTTCATATATCAGAAGTCTTGGAATAATTCACATGACATTATTTTCCTATATGTAGATGATTTGTTGATCTTTGGCTATAACGTGAATATTATTGACAAAGCTAAAAGTGTTCTTACAAGACATTTTGATATGAAAGATCTTGGTGAGATAAATTTTGTTCTTGGAATAAAAATAACAAGAACATTTAAGGAAATTCTCCTTGACCAGTCACATTATGTTGAGATTTTTTTTTTTAAAAATATAATTTTCATGATTACGAGCATGTTGTCACTCCTTTTGATTCAACTGTTCACTTATTTCTTGTTGAAAGTGAAAACGATGTAATAAATTAAAAGAAATATGCAAGTATAATCGAAAGTTTCAGACATGTGACTGATTGCACTGGGCATGATATTGGATATGCAGTAGGAATACTTAGCAGGTTTACAAGCAATTCAGGTAATGAACTTTTACATGCTTTAACAAGAGTTATGAGATATTTAATTGGAACGAAAAATTGTGGTTTGTTCTATAAAAAGATATCATGATGTACTTAAAAACTTTTGTGATGCAGATTGAAACAGTTTATCAGGTGATTCATGTTCTACCACTGCTTATTTTTTTACTTTAGGTGGTGGTGTTGTTGGTTGGAAATAAACAAAAAAAAACAAATTGTAATTCCTAACTCTACCATGGAGGCTGAACTAATTGTTTAAGCTTCAGCTAGTGAGGAAGCGAATTGATTATTCGATTTATTATTTCAAATTCCTTATTTTGAAAAACCAATTCCACCTATTTTAATTCATTGTGATAGCACTGCTGCAATTGGCAGAGTTCAAAAATCGTTATTACAACGGTAAATCCAGGCCTATAAGGAGGAAACACGGTAATGTAAGATTATTTTTGACAAATGGTATCATTAATGTTGATTATGTCAAATCTTCCTTAACAAGAGAAAAGGTCCGGAGCACATCGAGGGGGGAGAGGTTGATTCCTAAAAATCCTTGAGTCATGTATGAGGAAACCCAACCTGGGGACTAAAGATTTTATAACCAGGTTCAAAGGGAAAAAGTAATCATGTGATGACCTACTGTGAAAATGCACTATCTTTTTATTCCCTCCCTATGATGTCAGTTGCATTGTTTCCGGTAGTTTGTGAAGGTTGGGTTGATAAACTGTTAAAATGAATATCTGTGATCCATATTGATGGAGTATTAAACTTACAGGAGCACTCTCGAGACATTTCCCTTATGTGATGCGTGGAAATAGGTCGCTTCCTATAAGAATTTGGCTAATTCTCAAATGCACTCATGAAACTGGATAACACAAAGCAATAACGTGTTGACTTTTAAAGCTCATATCAACACCTTGATTATTATGTTTGAGAGTGATATTTTATTTCCCTTAAGCAGTCATAGTTCAAGTCTGAGACCACTGCAAATCTAGAGTAAAAGTTATTGGTTCACTAAGTGTAGGTTTAATGCAGAGCTCACCTTCATTATGCATGATAGTCTTCCTTCAGCTGATATACTCTTTTGTCTGATATTAAAAATGAGTGAGGGATTGTTTGTCTTTTGAGCAGTTTTAATATTAATTTCTTATTAAGTTTCTCATAAGGTCCTATGCTTATCTGCCTTAGTGAAGTAATGAAATGAATGACTAATTAGTTTGGTTGACCGTTAGTAGTATTTAACAAATGAATTATTGCTGCATTACTATATTTTGGAGTTAGTGTCATATGCATCTCTACATTTAGTGTATGTCCTATGCATTTCAGTTATGCAAAATGCTGTTGATGACATTAGTTGTTAATGAGATTTGTGCCACTTAGATTGTCATTCTCAATTCCTTCATTATTTTTATAACCTATGTAACTCTTAAAGTCATTATCTTCACTATTTACTATATCAATTCATTAATAGGAAGATTTCATCTAGTGTAAATAGTGGTTGGTGGTCTTTATTTGGTTTGAGACATAGCACACAAGAGAAAATAGAGAGTGATAGAGTTTGTCAATGAGAGAGTTCTTATTATTTGAAGAAATGTATTCCTTTTTGTGGAGCTTTGAACTCAACTCTTGTCCAGAGCTGTTGAGTTATTCTTTGTGAAGATTGTTGTATCCTGGAGGGGACAAGTCAAGGTGGACTATAGCTGAACTGGTGAAAACAATTGCTACAGTGGGCTTGAATTTCCTTAAAGAGAGCGAGATATCTGCTCCTTCGCTGAAATAGATTTTATTTCTTCATTTCATTTTCAATTGTAATCTTGTAATTTTTTTTATCTTGTAAGTTTTCACTAACATTTCTTGTGTGATTCTTTTTGTGTGTGTTGTATTGTTTTTTTTCTTAGTTGATCTTTTTCTCTCTGTATTATTTTCTTTTTAGTGGTGTTTTTTTTCCGTTTTTTCTTTTCTGTCCTATTTTTCCCCCTGTGCAGTTTTTTTTTTGGTAGAGTTTGATTATTGTATGTCCTTTTTTTTTCTGGTTGTAGGTATAGTTGTATATAATATAGTAGTGTATGTGTGTGTTGGGGTAGTGTGTGGAGTGTTGATTGGAGTGGAGTGGAGTGTGTCCAGATGGTGGGGTTGTGAGTGGGGTTACGATCTGTATGGAAATGGGTAATGGGGTAGGTTATTTTTTATTTAATTTTTGTTGTGAATAATTAAAAAATATAATAATAACAATATTATCTAAAAAAAATTAAATAACTATATCAAAAAAAATTAAAATTAAAATCACTAATTTATTAATAAAATTTTAAATAAATTAAAAACAAAATGTACTTCAAAGCGTGACTCTATTTTTGTAGTTTTCATATGTTTAAACATAAGTTTATTAAAATAAAATCAAAATTGAAATATTTAATTTAAATTTATAAAAATATTTAAGCTCTAAAAATGATGTAAAATTTTATGTTCGATCAAAAGTTACGTGTCTTCAGATAGTATTACAAAAAAGATCACGTATTTAACTTCTAAAAAAATATAAATTCGTATGAAATATATTGAAAATACAATTGACTAAACAAAAATATATTTTTTGAAAATTTAAATTTTTGACTGAGATAGTTACACACTCTAATACTTTGATAGTGTAAATTATAAAATTAAACAAGTAAACTGATCCATTAAAAACTCCAAACAATTTCATGGTATATATGAATTACACCAAAATTGCCTTTTTAAAAATTATGAACATTAGAAAACATCATATTTATTCTATTAAAATGGGGTAGGGGTAGGAGAAAGGGGAGGGAAAAGGGAAGGGCAATTGGTGAGCAAACTACAACATGGGGAATCAAACCATCGTCGATAAATAAAATCTTATGTAGTCCATTAACTGAGCTCTGAAATAAATTCGATTTTCAATACAAACACTGATATATATATATTGTTGTTGTTGAATAAACGTTACAACATATAATACATATACGAATAGATTAACATAGAAAAAGGTAACTAGAAGGGGATGAGAAACTAGAATAGAGAAAGGGAATGAGAAATAACTGAAAGACAGTTTTGACATAATTTGCATAACCGTTATTTCTAATGCCTAGACCTTTTTAACAAT